GTAGGGTCTGAGGCCCTCCCTGGTGGCTCAATGGGTTAGAACTCAGCACTGCAAGCTAGCCACAGCTGCTTCAGTGCCAGTTCGATCCTGGAGATAATCCACATGGTGAGGCAGACCTCTCCTGACCTGCCCGCTGCTCCCCTCAGCAGTGTACTTCGATGATCTGCGTGTTCTGTGCCCTATTCTGTCTCTGGTGAAACCTCTCACTACCCCTGCACCTCTGGTTTGTACCCCAGTTCTCTATGGAAAAAAAAATCTTAAAAAAAATTATCTTGTCTGAGACCACACAGCTATTATGTGTAAAAGCAGAGATATGATCCTGGTTTCCTTTCTTTTTCCACTAGTGGTATAACAAAAAAATGTACATACCTGGGCATTTTTTCCCACTTTCTGGCACAAAGTTCCTTGGAATTTTCAGAGTGATAAAGCAATTTTTTGTTATTCCTAATGAGTCCTTTCCAATCATACTTGAGTTTATACTAATAAAGGGACTCTTGATAGGTCCCTTAAAAACTTTAAGATGGGAATTGCTCTGCTAGAGGGTCCAAGCATGTGGATGATTCTAGAGAGCTAGAATATTCAACCCCATTTCAACCCCATTCCTCTTTCCATTTCAGGGCGGGGGGGGGGATGAGGGGCTGGAGAGAAGGATGTTAATTATTGTGCCTATGTAATAAAATTTCAATTAAAAAATCTTAAACAATAATATTTGGAGAGCTTCTGGGCTGGTGAACACATTGGCTGTTGAGAGGATGGTGTATCCTGAGTGAGTGTACAGACGCCCCCTCGCTCCAATCTCCTCTGATACTCTGTCCTATGCAGAGTTCATTTAGTCTAGCTTTGTGTTGCATCCGTTATGACAAAATGACAATTGTAAATATAGTGCTTTCTTGACTTCTCTGAGTCATTCTACAGACTCTGAGGCAGCCTTGAGGGAGCCTCTGAATTTGTAGTTAGCAGACTCCAATTTGTGTCTGGTGTCTGAAGTCTGACTGAGCCCTTAACCTATGAAATAAGGTAGTATCAGCATTGACTTGATTGTAGGAATCCAGTATGTGTCAGAAAACTGGAAAACTAGTTGATATTTGGAAACCATATACTACTACACCAAGTTCCACAACTGTTAACCAATACAATGACTACTAATGAGTTGACCACTGGATTTATACATAGTTATGCACCTGATAACAATTCCATTGTTTCCATTAAGATGTAAGTCACTGTTTTAATTTCTTATTCAGGTCAAACTATTGTCATAGGTGAGAATTAGTTTTCTTGAAGTCTTCCATGAGCTGATTGGACTAAGCATATATTCTATTTATAGGTATTCTAATTCTTGTTGAAAAGCTGCCATATGTAGAAAAATGAACACAAAATGACAGAATAAAAGCTACTATTAGAAATACTGGATTATAACAAGTGTGTTGACATTATCAATCATGATTTCTCCAACTCAAAGAAAAGTCAAGAAAGATGAAATTAGTTTTGTTTATAAGACCTGTGAGACTTCATTAACCTTAGGATCACCCCAATATATTGTGAAGAGCAAATGCTTAAGGTTTTCTGAAATTGCATCTTTTCTGGCCTTATCTTGCATCAGCTGCTCAGTTGTGACTGTGGAAAAACCTTAGAACTCCTGAAAGGGGAACAAAAGAAGAGATGGGGGAGGCAATAAAGAGTACCTTCCTTCAGGACTTACTTGGCCACGTGGGGCAGAGGGCAGGGGCATGGCTGACAGATCCGGGGTGCACCCCTGATAGAATCTGCAATATAACCATTTAGACATTTTTCACAGTGCTCTCCAGTGGTGTTCCGCTGGCAGTGCTATAAGACAAAAGGACATGAAAGAAATTTCATAGGCAGCAAATGAGTACCAAGCAATACCTTAGTCATAGGAGATGGCAGACCTAACAGAAGAGATGGTATGCACTGGGGTTGGCATCACAAAGGTTCGTATGGCCTCCTAACTAGGAAGTATGGACAATGGCAGGTGATTTTTATCCTAGACTTTGTGCGTACATTAGCACTCTGGGGATACTCTTCAGGGTTTGTGTGAAGAGGCAATTATTCATCAGTTACTCATTTCAACTTAAAATGATAACCATGATGATCAAACTCTCGATGTTTTAGAGGCATCAGCTTATTAACTTGGAATAAAAATGAAACAGAAAAAAACAAAAAAACAGACAAACAAAAACCAACCTCCCCTGCTGCTTATCCTAAATAAGGGAACAATTTAAGAACTTCTGGGCTCAAAGGAGCATAGTGTGTCCGATGGAAGCATAAGTGGAGTAGAGATAGGTAAAGAATATTTTACTAATGGGCTCATATCTTGCATAGTGAAATATAAGAAACAATAAGCTTGCTTATTTGTATGATTTTTCCATTTGTTATGAATATGATTGGAAGAAAAGCACAAAATAGGCTGATTCTCCTGCTTAGAAAGATTCAAACTCAGGCAGGGTTGGCTGCTACTTCCATTATTATATTGCGTCTCCAATGTGTAAGAGAAAAGGTTCTTTCCCAAAAGAGTTTTACAAGTACTGCCTTAGAAGGTGATAGACCATTTTATTACCAAAGTGAGCTTGAGATGAAGTACACCACACAGTCAGAAGGGAGGAAACTTGATGTGAGCAATAAACTATTCCTAGATGAGCACTCTGGGTATCTGATTAGCTATCTTTGATTCCTAAATAGAATTATGCTAGCAGAGTACAAATTTAGGACAAAATCATACTAACTCACAGATCAGTGAGGCATTGAAAAATAACATATGATGACAACAGATGTTAACATATTTCCTCACAGTTCTTACTACCGTCTTGTCCCAAGTCAACCTTTGGTAAATATCTGTTAAAAAAAAAAAAATGAAAGAAAATGCAGGAAAGGGTGAATTAGTATATCACAATGTGGCAAAAGTAAAGGAAATAAGCATGTATCCAAAGTCAGCTCAAAATTGGTGGCAATCTTTCAACCTTGGGAAAACCAATGAGCCTTTGCCCAGCGACCAGGAGGCAGCTATGCCATAAGCCATCTGGCAGGGCTGGTGTCAAATCTGCCCGAGTCCTTGTTGAATGAAGGCCATCTGTGCAGGAGAAAGCAAGCCAGTGTAAGATGTTAGGCTTGTTTTTGTGCTTATTAACGTTTGTTATGAAATTCTCTAAAAGGCATTCATACACATTCTAGGAGGTGGGCAGACAAGGGTAAAGTTTCCTAGCTGGTCCTTTTCTTAGCCAATCAACTTTTTTGAACAAATCACACAACCTTTCCAGTTCTCTTTGCCCTATCTGTGAAATGAGGATGTAGGCTACAGAGCTTGTAAGGTTTTTTCTAACTCTTAATATCTTTTACTTTAAGGTTGCAAATATCTTTGTACCTTCAATGCTTTTCCATTTAAAAAAAAAAAAGTAAGCAAAAATGACATCCAGAAGTCTGAGCTTATTATTTTTATTTTTTTTTAAAATAAAACTAACTGCCTGAGCTTATTGTTATTATTATTTTTTTTTAAATAAAACTAACTCTATGTAAACATGAAAAATGCATTCTGAAATTTTGGTCAGTAGTTAAGAAAATGTTTTCTGACTTTGTTTCAATACTTGACCTAGCAGGGACTCAAGTCTGGGTTTTCCCATTTCCAATAGTTTAGAAAGCCATCAAAATATTAATGTGAGAATAATGCACTAGATCCAATCACCAATTTTATAGTTATTTGTAAAGCAGGAGAAAGAAGACTCTGAAGCTCAATTTCATTTTGCTCTTGGACACCTAGTAGTTTACTGGTTTATCAATCTCACATACTTTGTCTAACAGGGATTTACATTAGTTGCCTTCTCATTTACACAGATAATAAAGGAGAGTGTGAAAATCATGAGAAAATATTGTGTCTGTAGAAATTAGAGCAATAATAATATTTCCTTTTGTGAACGGAGTTTTATTTAGGCTTTTATTAATAAAATTATTTTAAATTAATGCTTATTAATAACATGCTTGATAGGTTTGATTATTTTTCTTCATTGTGTTTTGGAGGGGCAGAAGTCCATCTGAATATTGACATCTTTTTCATGGTAAAATTACTACAAGAAATTGTAGAAAAGTTGGTCAGATATATTCTAAAAGAAAAGAAAAAGAAAAAAACTAACCATGCTTCATCAGCCAGCTATATATTCATAACAGTTTGATGGGTTTCTCTCTAGATTTTAATAATATTTTTTCTCATTTCTTTCTGAATCTTCTTATTTATATTTGGATTTTTTTTTCCTCTAAAATGCCAGCAAAGATCTTGATATCTTTTAAATTTTATATTCAATTGTCACTGAGCAGATTAGTTTGTCTGTGTGTTTTTAAAACAGTCATAGCACTTGGCCCTCTCTGGTGGCAATAGGTTAAGCTGAAACTCCACAAATCTAGCCACAGCAGCTTCAGCACAAGTTCAATCTCCAGCCAGTGAGGGAATCCACATGGTGGAGCAGACATCTGTCTGGAGATGTCTGGAGCAGACATCTCCTGTCCTGCTGCTCCCCTCAGCAGTGTACTTAAGTCAGTCTACCTATTCTGCTCCCTATTCTGTCTCTGGTGAATCCTTCTACTGCCCCTGCACCTCTGGCCTGTACCCCAGTTCTGTATGCATAAATAAATCTTTATTTAAAGAAAACAATCATAGCCCCCATAGCTTGCGCTTCATTACATTGGTGGTGTCCATGAACATTTTCAAGTAGGTGGCTCCATTCCCAAGACCCTTAAGCTACACAGAGGGAGTCATTCGACCCGGAGTCTATGTGATCATAAGAAATAAATATTTAGTCTTTGACCCTGCTTCTAACACAGAACTAAAACACTGAATTTCTCTAAGTTATGAGATCATGAAGTGTCTTTTGTAATTTTTTTTTAAGATTTATTTATTTATTCGTACAGAACTGGGGTACAGGCCAGAGATTCAGAGGGTGAGAGGATTCACCAGAGACAGAGTGGGGCACAGAACAGCCAGATCGACGAAGCACACTGCTGAGGGGAGCAGCGGGCGGGTCAGGAGAGGTCTGCCTCGCCATTTGGTCACCACCGGAGCAGGTGGGGAATCGAACTCATGAGGAAGTGGCTTAAGCTTCTTTGTGCTGTGCTTTAACCAGCTGTGCCACCAGCGAGGGCTGTCTTTTGTAATTTTTTTTTTTTTAAAGATTTATTTATTTATTCATACAGAACTGGGGTACAGGCCAGAGATTCAGAGGGTGAGAGGATTCACCAGAGACAGAGTGGGGCACAGAACAGCCAGATCGACGAAGCACACTGCTGAGGGGAGCAGCGGGCGGGTCAGGAGAGGTCTGCCTCGCCATTTGGTCACCACCGGGGCAGGCGGGAATCGAACTCATGCGGAAGTGGCTTCAGATTCTCAGTGCTGTGCTTTAACCCACTGCGCCACCAGGGAGGGCCTGTCTTTTGTAATTTTAATGAGAAGTCTGAGGAAGGCATCTAAGGATGGGGGCTGGTTGCCAAAAGAACCAACAGGCCTAGCGGGATGGATCTTTTAGCCCAGTCCTCCTGAACTCCAGCATCAGTTACCAATAACTAACAATTTAATGGCTAGCTAATGAAGTCTCCACAAAACCCCAAAAGGACAGGGTTCAGTGAGCTCCTGGTTGGTGAATTCATGGAGGAGTTGGGGGAGTGATCTGTTAACAGAGTCCATGGACGGCCCAGATTCTTTCTCCATGCTCTGCATCTCTTCCTTTTCACTAATTCTGAGTTGTGGACCTAGTGAGTTAGAGGCTGAGTTTATTGTAGGACCGTGCTGGTGTCTGAGGATTCCACGGATGCATAGACAAGATCCCTCCTACATAGGAATTGAGTCCAGAACACTTGAACTTAGAACAGTTTTTGGCATAGATGTAGCATTTAAAAAAATGCTTTTAGACAAATGAAGTCAATAGATAAATCAATCCTTAATCAAAAGAGAACTGCATTTGAAGAGTTAGTGCTCCTTTTGTGAAGATATTTATGCTTTTTTTTATGCTTTTTTGATATGTTTAAATTAGCAGCATAATTTTGTCTGCTCTGTATTTTATTGTCAAATACACTTGGAAATACAAGAATATTGAATTTAAATGTTCAATGGAGGAAGAACAATTGGGAAGGACAAGAACAATTGGGAAGGACAAGAAAGAGGCACTAAATACTTCAAAATAAAAGCAAAATGAAATAAAGGAGAGCCCTTTATTTTGGTTGCTTCTGGAAGGTGGGGAAAATGTAAGAACTGGTTAAAACTACAGTTCCCACAGTAAGTTAAATAATGTGTTCATGTAAAGTCACTGCTTTTTCTCTGGCTTCCTGAGAACTGAAATGAGCTGGGTTAGCAGGGTCTGAGCTGAGACACCAGCCTTGCTTGACCAGTAGGCCACAAAGGGATGCCAAAGGAAACAGAAAAAGATGAAGTTGATTCCAGTTTGACACCCACCATAGGCAATATGACAAAACATTATGTTGGTATCAAGTTTTTATTTCTTCTCCCTCATTTACCCTTAATTAAATATAAGTTATATTCTTATTATCTTTAAAAATTAAATGTATGAAATAGATTTATGCATAGAGATAGGATTGTAGGTACATTTTGCTCTGAATTTTATGTATGACATATATCCATGTATCATTGTTTGTTTACATTTCACATAAATTATTTAATCATAGAAAAAAAAAGGTATTTCCATGTGGGTAGAGTTCGGTTGGGGAACCTTCTTGGGATGAGTAGGATGATTATTTTGTCTTTTAGGATTTTCTTTTTTGGATACATTCATTGCAAGAAAATTCACAACTTCTCTGGGTGTACATATAAATATCTATACCCAGCCCCTCTCCAAACTTTTACTAAAATCTCCTACATCCCAGGAGATCTTGAAAGAACCACATGATGATTCTCCCTCTCAGAAACTCACTTTGACCTCTTATCCTGATAAGGGCAGTTTTGTCATTTGTCTTTTTAGACAACTAGCCGGAAGGCCTTTCATCCCCCTTTAATTTATCTGGTTTTCCATCTTTTTGCCTAACAGCAGCTGATGGGCTTGTCAGTACCTATTGTCTTACATTTTAATAAACAAAATAACAGAAGGACTTTAATTGGTCAAGTTATCAAAGGTATACATTATTAGTTCAAGTGCATCCATAGAATTTTCTTTTCAAATGTCACAGGATTAAAATAACAGGAAACCGGAGATGGAAGAATTAGAAAGGGGTAGACTTTGGCAGCTGTGGGTGCCTACGCTGCTACGGAGGACATCCTGGATGTGATGGCTATTTAAGAAGGTGGGGGAAGGGATAACAAACTCCAGATCAAAATAAACAATAAAAAGCAATAGCAATATTTAGTGTTTGCTATTTAATTCTCTCAGTCCCTAGGGAAAAAATGCAACTGCTGGGTTTAAAAGAGATGAAAATGCTCTAATTTGCATCTTAATGTAAGCACACAGAAAATACTTTACATGTGCATGCATCTTGGAGACCACTTATGACCAAAATGATCTCTTTAATAGGGACTATTATGCTAATTTTGAGGTATACTTAATTAAGTATTCTTGCAGTCTCTACAAAAAACTTTTGCAGTTTCAGAGAGCCTTGTTTACCTCATAGGAAACTGAGGAATATAATTTTCCAGCTAGGTCTTATAGCTCATAAAGAAAAATATGACCACAGGGCAGAGGCCTGAAAAATGCCCCCTCTAACTTCTACTGAAGCCATTCTGATAGGAATATCTCAATACCAATTTTCACTAGGTTTTTAAACCAGTCAGTGAAAATGGGCAATATGCAAGTGCTTTCTTATTTTGTATTTATTTATTTTTTTTGCTAGAAGGCTTTTCTGTTTCTTCATAAGTCTTTGTCATATTTCACTGAGAAATAGTCTTGGGAAACTCATTTCAGTTACGGAGGAAAAAAAGGTCTGGGGGTTTGAACACAGAATTACAAAGAACACAAGGCCAAAGCTTCCATTTTTTATTAGTTTAGTGGTTCAAACCTATTTTCCTTTCATTCTCTCTTTACTAATTTTGATCGATAGATCTGTCATAAGTTGTAAACTAGGCTATGAAACAATTGTTTCATTCTCCTGGTTTATGTGGAGTGAAGCCAAACATATGGCAAACTATACTATTACAGAGGAATTTGGATGGATGGTTTCCTCCTTGTGTATTATTTTCAAACCTATCACCATTGGCCTACAGCAGGAAACCAGCTGCCTGCAGGGAGGGGATGCGGGTACCCCCAAGAGGCTTGCCTATTCAGACATACTCTTGGGGGCTGGCCACTTACGACCCTAAGTAGCAATAGTTTTTTGGGGTGATTTACAGGAAAGGGTGAAGGGTAACTAAGAGTGCTTGAATAGCAGTCTATAGTCCTATGCCCAAGAAGAATTATTTCATCCTCACTTTAGAGGCAAAGGCCCAATGCGATATGTGAAAAGTTGACAGGTGCCTCAACCTACCACACAGAATCCGGAGCCATCCAAGCACTGGTTGGAGTTACCATTACAGCTGCAGGGCAAGCAGTCTCCTGAGTGGGCACGGAAGAGCCCAGGGCCACATTTCTGAAACAGACACAACAGAAAGCAGGTCCATTATTGAAAAGATCATTTTTAATCAATAGTTTCTGAGAGGACTTTAAGGATATGATTATTAAGCTAACCAAAATATTCTTTACAAAACATACTAAAATGAACTGTTCATACTGCTTCCTAGTAACGGCTTATGTATATTCCTTTCTCCTTCTTACATAATTTTCCCCCTTTCAGGAGACTTGGGACATATTTACTTAACATGTCCCACTGTTATAAGGGAGAGCAGGAGTTTTTAGTTAACAGCAAGGGAGCAAGTAGTTTTCTCCTATCCAAAGTAAAACACCACAGTTATTATTTAGGAGGAGGACTTGAGTCATGTTCCCTACAAATACAGACTTAAGTTTTCAGGAATTTTGCCAGCTCTAAGGGTAATTTAGATCTGTGGCTTCCGTGAATTTGGGCTCTTAAAAATGTGTATCTTTTTCCAGATCTTAAAATTTTAAAGGAAGAAGTAAGGAAATCGAGGTGTCATATCCTGAGTGGGTGCTGTTCATATATTTCATTTACCCTTGTAACTCTGTGAGGAACACATTATTTTTTTCTACATTCTAGTGTTGGGGTATTTAGACCCAAGGATGCCATGTGGCTTGTGGTGATGTTAAGCCATTTTGCACAGCACTACAGAGTATGTGTTTTTATCTGAGGCTGGTGGAAATCCCTGGATGTAGAACCCACAGAAACAGAGGGCTGGCTGTATAGTTCTAGAAGTCCACTCCCTGCTTATCAGACTGCTTATCAGACAGGGTTATGTCTAAAGAATTCTAGACAGATAAGAATCTGGGTTGTTTCCACAAAAGAACAGAGTAGATTTCCCATCATGCTTCCCATTGACATATTGTAGTCCATACAATCCAGGATTCCAGGAAATTTTTTCATGTCTGACTGAGGTCTTGCTGACTACTATGCAAATCCATTTCCTCTTTTTTTTTCTCTCTCTCTCTCAGTAAAGAAAGAATAACTAGATATCATTCACAGTGTAATAACACCACCAATTTGGATCCTGCAACTAAAGTTTACTATATTCCATTAGGAGAAGCTTAATGAAAAAAAAAAAAAAAATGACATTTACCAATGAGAAATGAAACTGTCTAAGTGAGAGAAATTAAGACCAAGAGGAGACCAATTTGTAATTTATCATGGTAAGTTTGCAGTTCACTGTGAACCTTTTTTTCTCACTTTCCACAAGGAATCAAAGGAGTGGAAATGGTACAAAAATTGTAGTAGGAAACACTTAACTTACTCCATCTAATTTCAAGTTTTTGATTTTTGTTCCAAAGTAAAATCAACATGTTTTCATTGTGATACATTGCATAGATGATTAGGGATATCTACTGGCATCTGCCTGATCCATCTATAATCTATCTCTACCTACCTATCTCTACATCTATCATCTGATATAGAACTGAACTAACAAAACATTGATTAGTCTTACTCTATGTAATTTACCTTAAACCTCTTTAATCTGTTTATAAAAATATCCTGGTAATGGCACATAAAATTGATTTGATAATGCATTAATATGTGACATCTTGCAGCTTGACATTAGGAGGGTTTAGATTGTAAGAGAAAAGCAAAAGGGTATAAAGGAGTTTATTACTAATTATCTTTGTAACCTCCCAAAAAGTGGTTTCCCAGCTCTTTGACTATGTTCTAGACTTCTGGGAAACTACTGGTTCAGTGGCTCTGATGGTGAAGCTAAAGAATCTGTCATTAAAAAAATAAATATTTCGGCCCTCCCTGGTGGCGCAGCAGGTTAAAGCACGGCACAAAGAAGCTTAAGCCACTTCCGCATGAGTTCTATCCCCACCTGCCCCAGAGGAGATCCAAATGGCGTGGCAGACCTCTCCTGACCCGCCCACTGCTCCCCTCATCAGTGTACTTCGTTGATCTGCCTGTTCTGCTCCCTACTCTGTCTCTGGTGAATCCTCTCACCCTCAGTAAGTCTCTGGCCTGTACCCCAGTTCTGTATGTACAAATAAATAAATCTTTAAAAATAAATAAATAAATAAATAAATATTTCTTTAAACATTGATTTATTTTTAATTAATGACTTATTCTCCATAGCTGTACATGGTGTAAGTTTAAGATGTACAATGTGTTGATCTGATATACTTAGTGCCAAAATGATTAACACCATAGCATTAACACCCACATCATGTCACATAATTACCATTTCTTTTTTTGTAGTGAGAACATTGAACACCTAGTCTCTTAGTAACTTTCAAGTACATAAAACGGTATTATTAATTATGATCACCAAGCTGTACAGTTGATCCTCAAAACTTGAATTCATCTTGCAAACTGAAAGTTTATACTTTTTAGCTGACATCTCCCCATTTCCCATATCCCCCCGTCAACCTGTAATCTATTCTGGTTTCTGTTTCTATGAATTCCAATAATTGGGGGTGAGACTTGAGGTGGGTTTAGAGAAGAAAACCACGCTGTGGTGGCAGGGTGTCTGTAAGATGGGCCCAGGAAGTACTTGTACCATCCACCACAGTAAGGACTGTCCTTACTGCGAATCAAGTTTCAGTAAAGATGTTTTAAATTGATCTTACTGAAAATCTTTTAGGTATTCCTGCATCTGAAGAAAACAAAGGAAATTAAGATTTTTCCTTAGATAAATAAATCATTTTGAATATGGCAGTGGCTAAATGTGCTATGTCCCTCAAGGCACTGGCTAAATTGACTAATTAAAAAAAAAATAAAAACAATATTATCACAATACAGAAAAACAAACTAAGCAAAACAAAAAAATCTGTGAATTTTGCACTTCAGAGTAGCTTCAGATTTGGTGAAAATTATGAGTGTTCCAGATTTCAATGTGTGGCCAAGTTTGGAAAAACTGTTTCATAGCATCTTTCACAGTTAGTTGTTCTTATCAAGTGCTAAATGAATGCCTGTGATTTGAGTGGTTTGGAGCAGGGTAAGAAATCTGAGGCATACTGTATGTGCTGGTAGAAAACAATGGCTTATACTGCTAATCTACTTCTACTCTCTGCTAGGCCTAGATTTGGTTTCCAACCTTTCTTAACACAGTGCAGACAGGCATTGCCTAGATGGGACTGGTGCAAAATGAAGTCTTCATGTTACATCAAGTTTAGAAAAGATCAGGTGCACTTAGGGAGGAATGGCTGAAAAATGCCAACTCTAGGAGAAGATTTCACACTCAGAATCTGGCATTGTTGACTTACTCATTGCCCAGGATACAGCTCTGACCTTGTTTTTTGAAATAGACCTCTAGGATTTTGAGTCAACAACTTTTGCATTAATTACTGAGGTTCAATGTGGAAAGCATAAAGCATAAATCCAACCAAAAACCTCTTTAAATTTATTGTTTACAGAGTCAATGCTACCTTCCAAATTAGTATTCCTCAATTTTAACAGCCCACATTGTTTGGATTTTAAGATATATAATTATATAATGAATCATTTTTTTCTTCCTGTTTCCAGGCAACAATGATGTTAGCTTTAGTTTTAGTTTAGTGTATTCCACCTTTTATTTTAGTAAATGATAACAGTCACCTTAAAATTTAATATTATGTTAACTTAGTAGTTAAACCTTTGTGCCAGCACTCTGGTGATGGGTCCTGCCTAATGCTGAATTTCATCTGTTTAAAACCTGGGCAGATTTAAGAATAAGTCAGAATTCAAAAACCTTCAGTGTGGACAAATAGTTCAATTTATTCTACTAAAAGTGTAAATTTAACTCTGGCTGGGAAGAAATGACTTTTGAGAATAGAAGAATTTGTTACATGGATAGGCCTCTCATAGGCCATTTTTTTCTGAGTCTAAGCGAAAGTATCTGGGATGGAAAACAGTATCAGATTAAGTCATTGACAATGTTTGAGTATATTTTTCTCCAGTAGGGCATAGCATGTACTGACTGTTGATATGTAAAGCTATAACCAAAATGCTAAAATAAATGCCTTATGCAGTGTGTTAGCTGAAGTTGGCATCTTGATTAACTGCTTGAATATGGAGAGAATTACCCATTTATCCTCCCCTGGGCCTCTAAACTCTTGTTTGCGTAATCGAAATTCCCCACATTTCAATAGATGAAGTTAATTTTTAGTTTTTTGACAGTGATTTCACCATAGTTTGATTAGGAAAGTGGTTTCAACATTCCTTAAAGGCTTATCCAATTCAAAGGTATTTCTTCTGATTGGCATAGTAACACAAGGGCATCGGTCAAATCAAACTATGGTGCTGGTTTCTCTTGGTTGGGTCTTAGAGCTATACTGTGTTTATTGCTTAGTACTCATGTCTACCAGCCCTTGGCCAGCTTGCAAAAACACTCCAGATCTCAAATTAATCACTAACACCATGATTTAGGTTCCCAGCATTTCTGAGCTCTCTTGACCATGGTTAAGTCAGGTTCTTTGATATTTATGACTGGAGAGATTATTTATCATGTTATTTACATGAAACTCAAAACTTACATTTACATCACACTCAAAATTCTTTGATTCTGTGTGTATTCTCGTGGGCTTGGAAACGATGCCTCACTCACAGATTGCAGACTCTTCCTGCCCTTGCATTTGACCAAATGCTTATTTGGATTTTACTACCAACAGAACTTGACTGTAAAAGTATTTACCATATTTTTAAAGTAAATAACTCTTTTTTAAAAAATAATTAAGCACTTCTTCTTTTTAAAGACTTGTTTATTTATGCATACAGTACTGGGGTACAGGCCTGACAAATAGGGGCGGTGAGAGGACTCACCAGAGACAGAAAAGGGAGTGGAACAGGCAGATGGACAAATTACAATGCTGAGGGGAGCAGCGGGCGATACTGGAGAGTTCTCCAGCGCCATGTGTGTAACCTGCAGGATAGGGATAGAACTCACACTGAAGTGCCGCCTTAGCCAACCTCACAGTGCTGTTTCAACCCACTGTGCCACCAGGGAGGGCCAGGTTAACTCCTTTTAGTATAAAAGAAACAAACAACAAAATTTAGAGCCCTAC